GCTTGTTCCGTGGGTGGTCCATGAGGCAAGATCTAAAAGGATTCGGAAGTGGGGGGGGTGCAACCGAGACGATCTAGCCCCCCCCTACTTGGGTAGCAGAGTGTGAAGGGTTAGGCGGGGAAGGGAGAAAAGATCTAGCCAGGCTAGCAAAAGTGATGAGGAATTACAAGATTAACTCCTCGTTTGCAAGCGGATGTACCGTGGACAGAATACATTTGGCTTGCTAACCGTGTAATTTGATTGTAGACCAACCCAACCATACCCCCAGGGAAGCAGAAATGGCTAGAGGTTGAAGAGTTTATCACGTACTGATAAAGGACTAGTAGCAGTTGGTTGATAACGAGGTTCATGATAGTTGTCATTTCCAAAGATAAGGGAGTCTTACACCCATAAAATCCGACCCTGTTCTCGTAGGAGGGGGAGGGGGGGGCATCTTACGCTTTTGCTAGTTTCGTTTGCTAGTTCCTGTGATTACGTGTCTCACCTGGGCAAGACCTGTAGACTCTTGCCAAGGGTAAAGGGGGCTTGTGATATTGCACAGCTTTACAAGAGTTTACGCGTCTCCGCAGGAAGCATGGGCAGCGATCGATGGAAACCAACAAAAAGCCCCAACTAGCCAAACTGGCCCAAGATCCTCTTGGCATGCGCTAATTATTCTACTCTGTTTTTTTTCCAGAATTTTTGCTTCCTCCACGATGCACTCATTCAGACTTCTGGCTACTTTTAGACTAGTCAATACTGCCGAGGCAATTTTGTGAATCTTGTAAATATACCAGGCCACTCGGTACTCTTCTGAACGTGCCTCGGGAGGGACCACTGATCGTGCTGTCCCGGTGAGTGGGTGTGGACAAACGGAGATGACGTGGTCTAACCCTCCGGAGGAGAGTGGTCCCTGCTGAGGCACATAGCACTCAAGGGAGTTAGAGTTGGTTAACTTATACCAATACTCCTCCTTTTCAATTCAGACGAGAATTCTCCAGCTTCTCTCTTTCTTGCAACCTCGGCATGTTAGTAGTAAGTGTTATAATATGCTTGTGCCTTACGAGGTTGATAGGTGGAACAATTTATTCAATATGGCCTAACGTTTCGACTGAATCGTCGTCATCAGAGGCCTGAATGTGTTTCAAGGATCTAGCATTTTTTGCCGCTTCTAACGCCCCACCAAGCGCCCTCGTCAACTCTAGCGGTTCCGACATCGTGTCAGGAACCCCTCGAGAAACCCCGTCATCGCGAAAGTCAACTCACCGACGGTTCCACCTTATAAGCGGCAGTGTCCGCTGCCACACAAGAGCGAGAATTAGTTTGTAACAATGAGGGAAATACTGCGCTGTCTCCGTATAATAAAATATTGCGGAGACGCACGTAGCGCTCTGTCATTCTACAGCTCGCAGTGTGGTATAAACGGCAGAAGGTCATTTGTTATTGCAGGACACTCATCTCGGCTGTTCATTCTGGGTTTTCTGGTGAAAATCCAGAAACGCTTCTAATGCTTTTTCTTGCAGAAATTTTCCGTCTCATGTGCCAGCAATACGCACTTTATTTCGAACTCCACGCCATTATGTTGCTCAACTTTATGCCTTCCGAGGGCTGTTGTTAGGGTACCGCGTCTCATACTAGCAAGATGTTCTTTGATGCGAACTGCCAAGACCCTTCCTGTTTCCCCAATATAAGTAGAGTTACATGCCTGGCACTGGATTTCATATATGACTCCTACTTGCATGCGCAGTCGCCCCAAGCTTTCCCCGTGCGGGCCACTGGGTAACGCAATTATTCAGATAAAGCCACTGCTTTGTCGTAGAGTCTGTTGCGAACCAGTTGCCGTTTTGATGTTCTCGTTAGGTATATTCACCAACTGCACATCGTCCTGCAACTGTGCTCTTACTATACTCCGTTGGATTGCAGAGCTCACCTTTTCAGAAATAAAGGGAATGCATAAGGGTAGCTTATTTTGAACCAGGGTTACCTTGCGTGGGCCGTTGCTGCTTGCCGTGGCTCGAATGAAGATGGTGCGCATAAACCATTCATTTCATTTTAATTCAGACGAAGAGATCCTGCATTCCGTGGCTCAACAGTGTTTCTCTTTGCAAATTGAGTCCCTTAAAGGCACAGTTCGCGACCGCAAATTGCGGGAAACGGAACTCAAATAGGCACAAAAAAGTGCTAAGTATCTGATTAGCGGAGAAAAGCAGCAGTAGAAAAAGCAGTCCGAAATGTTATGAGAAAGATAAAATAAAGGCTACTAGATACATGACTAGCAGGCGGTCGGATGGTAAGGGTCGGCATGGGCCTAAGGGGTGTCCATGGGCCTAATTAGCCAGCTTCCAGCGGAGTTCTTGCCGTTTTTCACATTTTGAAAGTAACGCAGCCTCAAAAATCGCCTTCCGGATCGTCCGACACATTTGAGAGGTCATAGCCTTATTTTTTCGCGGAATGTGCCTTTAAAGGCAGTTGGCACGATGGTTTCCTACTTAGCCTAAAATGCTAGTAGGGCATGGCGAAAGAACGGAGTGAAACGGTCAAAATCCGGCGAAGAAAAAGCTTCCGGCTACGTCAGTGGACTTGTACACGATTTCGGACGGACGTTTTCCCGGTTAACGCACTTTGCCAATCACCGCTACCGAAGATACGGCTGCATATGTGTACCCATATATGCATGCAGCATCACCGCCGCTTCATACCAATCCCTTTGCTTCATAATTTGCTCAGCAAATGAATGAATACGAGCGTCAGAAACGGTCGTCCGTTTGTGGGCGGGCGGGCAAGGAAGGCGTTTGGGACGTAAAGTTGTTGCTCAATAGGGCGTTATAGGGGTACCCTCTTGGAAAAGGCTTCCACGCAAGTGCCTTGTCGAGGTGCACGGAATTCTGCTAAGCCAGTTGTTTCAAATCCTACATCACGTATTAGCGATTTATCGTGCCAACAGCCGTTTAATTGCCGTCCAAACCCGTAGTATTTCGTAGCTTTCCAGACTTCAGCGAAATGATCCCGGTCTATGGTACTATTGCCCTTTCTATAACCGAAATAAGAGCACTCATGACCCCTCTGGCTGGAAACCTGCACAGTGTCTAGTACTTCGTTCAAGCTCCATCCCCTCGAAGTCTACTCGTCCTCTTCGGTACCTCCGTTGTGTCGCAGCAGGCCGTACTAAGTCCTGAATATTAATCACCCTGCGTGCATAGGTCTTCTAGAGTGCATTCGTCCTATTCAAACTGCCCATGCAGATAAAGCGAATCATCACAGAAATAGCCCGTTTTGGCAAAGCTTAAGAGCGTCGGTCTGTTTCTTTGAGAGACATGACGAAGGCTTGACATGATGCTTTTAGAGTACTTTTCCTTATAGGACCGGCGCTATGGTTTGGTTGCGCGGCGACCAGCTGGGGTAATGCACGGCGAATATTTCGAATTCAGGGACGTAAATTTAAGCAGTTACACGGAAACAATTCCCGTTGCGTCAGCAGGTAGTACGGTAGCATGGCCACATAGAAACAGCTGAATCATCAAAGGGCTTACCCACGTGCTACGTCATGCTGGGTATGTGGCGAGACAATGGTAATATGCCGCGCCGGTGGACGTGGCGAGTAGCGCCGCGCCACACAGACACAGAGTTTTTTGCCCGCTCTTTTGAATACGAAAGACGAAGAGACGAGAAAATTTGATATCGCCCGTTATGGAGTCTCACCTCCGCTTGAATTGATAAGAATTTTGCTGCTTCAGTTGGCAAACTAAGATAGGTCGAGAATCAGCCGAGCACCGCCACACGACACGGCATGCGCGATGCGAAAATTTACGATTGTCTTGGCCGTCTACCGGTGGGCTAGCTCCATGAGTAGCCATGTATCTGCTTCCAAAAGGATGCGCTTTTAATTGAATAGTCTGAAACGAGGTACTGGTGTAACCATTTTGTTTCTTATAGTTATTTTGAGTAGTTTATCGCTAGTAATGGCTGCTAAAAGCCCATCGAAATCCCTGTTCAATGCATTTTCTTTTGGTGAATAGTGCTAGTCATTTGTTTCGGACGCCAACGGAGTTGGAGGGGGTACCACCGGCTGGCGTTTCAGTATCCTTTCCCTAATCAAGACATAGCTGTGTGTCTTCCCTGCGAAACTATCCTTTGGCGATCTGGTCGTCTGCGCTGTATGCCTGAACCTTTCTGGAGAAGCTCAGTGTTCTCTCCCTCACAACTTGTACGTCATTTTAGACGAAACATATTCTTCCTTTGTGCTCGAATCCTACTATTGATGAGAACTATTACAGCTTCGCGACACTCAGGACTACTGTACAGATTCGGAGTGTTTGACCGATGGCGGACCAACGGCAATTGCAAGCAATTCGATCTTGTTGTGGACGATGCTTTGGGGTTTCTTGGCTTTAGTTCTGTTCTTTATGCGCCCAAATTCTATGCGAGGAAATTCGAATAGGAACGAGAAACCTGGACCAAGCAATGATCGCGTGAGTTGTTTTGTTTCTATTGAGTAGGATATATTCATGGCATAAAACAAGGTGGAAGTTTGACGTGCTGTTAAGCATGGCTACTTTTCTAGGTTCAGTGCTAACATGGGGTACAAGCGGTGCCAGTCAGGACACAGAACTAGACTATGGTGCAGTTTTCGAGGGGTGAATGAGCTCCACAATGAGTGAGCCAGCTCTACACTCCGATTTCTGGGAAATATTAAGGGCAGTAACACCCCGGAACTCTTTCCTTTCCGAAGAAACAATGCTCTAGGGCTGATGCCGAATTTCTGACTAGCACCTTTTTACTCCCACTGATCCCGCCCCATAGATCAGCTTCTTGGCATCTTATACGATGCAGCCTCAGGCCGGGTTTGAAGCGGCGCCAGTTTGTTCTTCACCAGAGTTCACTTGTGGAAGCTGGCAGGCGACTACAAATGGTCGACAACTTGTTAGAGCCGCACCAAACCCAATCTCCTGACACGCCCTGGCCTCCGCAGCGAACAAGGCTATGTACCTTACCTTGTTTTATGCCCGAAATGTATTGAAAAAGAAGAGTGGATTGTCTGTATGCCTACATTTCAGAACAATCAACCGCCTCCGCCTGCAATCATGTAATAACAGCAGCATGAATGAATTTTCCCTTTCAAAAAACGTCCCCTTTCTACAGACATTCGCGCGCTCGCAATGTACACACGTTGTAAATATCGATATCATGTCTTCCGTGATGCCTTCTGTATTCTTCTGTATCAAGTGGGATAACACACATATGCGTTTTTTTTCCTTCCCGTAATGTATACTGGTTTAACGTTGCCGTGAATTATGTGATAAAATTCTTATTACATGATTCACGGCTTCTAATTGGTTACAGTATATTTTTTTCCCTCTTTCCTCTTTTCTTTTAAATAGCTCACTTTCGCTTTTTTTTACACACACACCACAATGTATTTAGACTCCGAGTCTGTTACCCCCTAAGTTGGTATCCAGATCTGTATTCCCACATACCAACTAGTCTTCTAGTTACGAATGTGATTCGCTAGATATAATTCTGCTTTCCTTTTTTTCGTATACAAACTTCTATTCGGTACAATAAATTTACAAGGGTGGACGAGATTTATACCTATATGTAATATGTATAAGTGCATATGTATAACAAATACATGTTCGTATTATGAGGTAACTATAAGAGAAAGAGAACAAGCATAACCATTACCCGCGCGATATGTGTGTAGGACAGAAAGAGTGAAAACGGTCCTACGTGCCTTGATTGGGCCCAGGATACTTAATTATAAGTGCAGGATAACAGGTGGTATACAGTACCCAAAACTACGCGTAGGACCAAGTGCACAGGAGCAGCTAGGTGCACACATCACCCCCTAGGTAGCTGCTGGCCAGTAGGAACGCAGACTTAACGTCACTCTCCCTCGCTTCCTGGTCTCGCACAAGCTAACGAACTTAAGTAAGTAGATTGCCCTACGGTACGCCCATCTGTGTGATTTCACGTAAACGACACATTTAAGATCACGCGCGATTTTCGGAAGTACCGTGAACCGCCTGTTTTCTGAACTTATAATCCTGCGCCCAGCATAGCCCATGCAATTTCGAAATCGATACAAAAAGAAATTCCTGGATAATGCAACATGTTAATCACATAAAATATGGTGTGACCACCTTATCGGGAATTTCTCGACGATCTTGTGGTACAGCCGTAAAATACTTGACATCTCTTGAACCGTCTTCAGCAATCGATAGCACTGCAGCCACGTTACCGCAGCGATAGCAATAGTTGGGCGCTTGAATAAAACACCATTGATCAAAGTAGAGAGGCGTCATCATCACATACATTGTTGACACAATGGTTCTATACAATGGCTGCTTAGTCATTCTAACAATAAATAATACATTCGCATGCGAGTCGCCATTCTTGCTCCATATACTGGTTGTAGTGAGGAGCTATTAGGTTGTACGAAAAGTAATGCGACACTTTGACCAAATTTTTCGGACTAAATTTTCCGTCACTAAAAGACATCTCCAATCTACAAGGTAACCGCAGTTGATGACTAGGACTAGTGCCCTTCTTTTTCTCATTTCCATTCTCATAGAACTACGGCAACTATGATAAAAAGAAGAGGTGGACCTCATTCTCGAGTTGAGGTCGATTTTCGGAATTTTGCTTGAAAGGATGCGATAGGGACCAAAGGATGGTAATTAGAGGCTGCTAACTTTGTTAAATAACCTGGGTACGGTCGCATTCTCTGATCGAAATCCATGATCTTTTGGCGTAGCCTGATCCCACATGCGGTCTTCGCCGAGTAGTAGAGAAAAATTGAGTATTTCTGAATGAATTCAAGCGTGACGTCATCCATATTTTGAAGTCGATTAAGGTGGACTGTGGTCCTTACAACGGTGCTAGTATCCAGTGATACCGCTTTGAAGTCCCACCAATAACACACTGAAATCTTTATCCCATGCACATCTGCTTTTGGCTGAGCAATCTACTTTTCTCCTTGAGAGATCCTGCGAGCATGATGTACGCAAGTGTCGCTACCAACCACAAGATCTCACAAAAGTTCTTTCGCTGTGTACAAGGAAAAGAAAACTCAGTCACGGTCATTCGGTATGACTTGTCAGACGAGTCCAATCATGAGGCAAAAGGCAAGGAAGCGCTCCGTCACAAAAAAATTTTTTCCGATAACCGAGATTGCGGAGAAGCATGGCAGTTGTCAGTCAGGTGGAGCCTAGAGAGGTTGCCAACTTACTGGTGGTTACCTTCGGCTGCGCCTCAAGAAGCTTGAGTAAAGGGCCGTCATTCTGTGCTGGTGGGCGACCTATACGCCTAACTACGAGTTAAATAAGTCCAGCCTGGAAGCGCTGATGCAAAAGCTACCCTCTGCCATGGCAAGCGATATCCTTCCTCAAGACAACGTAAGTGTTAGCTTCCTCGACTACGGCGGAGTGGCCCTACAGGAACTCATAATATGGGATAGGTCGAAAAGTACCTCGATCTCTGAGGGACTTTTAAGCTTTGAAAACTTCCACAAAGTCATGATATACCCATGTGCAGAAACCCCAGAGGACAGTCTCCACTAATCAGGGATAAAAACATCCAAAATGATTTTTGGTCTTTTTCTAGAACAATCAAAGTGTCGCATTACTTTTCGAACAACCTAATAGTTCGCATGTAGTGATGCCTTGGAGGCTAACTGTCAGACGAAGAACTCAAAGCCACAGGGTGCGGTGCCAAAATGAGGTAATGACATTCAAAAAAGTATGGTTCTCCCACTAAGTTTGAGGCGGACAAGACAATTGTGTAATGCATGACAGCTCGTTCACGGGTGCGCGGTCGCTCGCCCCGCCCCATCGCGATTGCCTTCCAACTGTGAAGCGGGCGTGCTGGAGGGCTTCCCACCTTGCGAGCTCCAAGCGCCCCTTCTATGATTTCACGTGATGAAAACGGCACACCTTAGCAGGCCGTGAACATCAGAGAAGATGTATGAAAACTTAATGAACTATGTGAAGCCCGAGTTCTACAGATGGGAAAGAAACGATACGACGGCGGCAGAGGGCGAATGTGAGGGAAACGTCTACCCATAAATACAAGGTACAACCAATTAGTCACAGCTGGTACGTCCCATCATCGGGAAAAATTGGAGATTGAATCGAAAGTTAGTATGCAATGTACACTGATTTTGTAGGCGTCAAACATTTCGTACGATGTTCCTCATTCAGTATCGCTGCTAACTGAGTGTCTATCTTTTATCTTCTCTATCCCTTATCTTACTTTTTGTCACATCTTTTATACGGTCGACCCATACACTCGACTACACTGGGCCCTACCTATAAGGGGAGACGGACCTGAGAATCGTGAAGTGGCGCGCCGTCGCGCGCGGCGCACCTTCTGGCAGTAGGCGGGGAATTTGTCAATATGGGCCTCAAGCATGGATGGCCGCGAGAAATTCAAACTGTGCCTCAGTTTAGAGCAGCGAAACTCTAGGGATTGTTGCATATTTTCTTATTTTTCCCGTAATTACGCAAATATTTCAGGTATTTTCGTTCACTTCGTGCACGTCTATTGGCTGACGACATCAAAACACTTCGATGTCCTCAATAGTAGCGCCCTTTCCCCGTCCCTTTGAGCAAACAATTTTTGTTTCAAGGCAGCGGACACGATTGCTGTAGGCGGGCAATTGTTGCCAGCGCACTGGTGGAAGGACTGCGAAGGGCGTCTGGCCACACATCACCAACCCTTCAATGTGACGCTGGTGACAACCACTCGCCCCAGCAGTGCTGCCCAGTGTCTTCGGTTGAGACAATACAAATTACAAAACATACCGGACCATACGGTGCATAAGGTTTCGTTGAACAGGTATCGGAACCCCTCGTCAACAAGTTGGTGTGATCGACATATGAGGTCTAGGCCATTTGTATTTAGAAACTTCTTTGCAACTGTGCCTCCAAATATCTGTAATTTACTCGTAACCAATTTTATTCATCAGCGGTAAGGTGCGCTATGAGAACTTTGAGTTATTTGAAGTCCAACTTCCTGGGAGCTTTTAGAGGTACTGGTACGGCAGTAGCAAATCATGAGATGCAGATAGCGGCAGTCAATAAGACGAAATACATTACAACCCAAAAACCTCACCCATCCAGCTCCTCGTTGACTAATTACCCATTCCTCCTCATTTTCATCTGGATCTGACCACATAAGATCACATAAGGGGCCCTAGAATAATGAAAGAAAAAGATACCATCAACTACTCTGCTGATCCACCCAAAAACTACTAACTTTTGTTGGCAGTTCTACGGCACGATTCAAATTCAACATCTTATCAATCGATTTAATTTCCGGCGAAAGACCACCATGAACACACAATATTGAATCATCAATTATAGCACCAACCGGTAACACGTCGAACACCTGAATGACGAAAAATTCAAGTATCTCCCGAGAACAGTAAGAACGAACCGAGTAAGCTCCTGAGCCATCCGGGAATTCTTCCTAATCGTGAACAGTTGGGATATGGTACTACATATCATCAGTTTTAGAAGATAAACTCATGCCCTATAGAAAAGGCTCACTCCATCAATGTGATAACTAGCCATCGAATTTTTGCTAGTTTACTAGGATTTGGGCAGTGTGTAAGCGCCGGCGCAGAATGTTGCGCAACAGTCACACCTGTCCAAGCCATATTGCCTTTTCTGAAAAGGGGTGGGGGAGGGGGGAGGGGGGTTGGCAGATGGCTGATTCACGAATTGCAACAATCAGGGACTTGCGTCACCTAGTGTTTATTAGATTTGAAGGCACGCCCCGCATTCAGAAATGACGAGTTTCACCCTTGAAAGACTAATGACATCATAGTAATTGCCTTTCTGAGCGAATGAGTAAAGACTCTTTCTCCTTATCAGCTTACTCTCACGATTCGAAATTTAGAGAGCTAGTGGTGGAACCACCGCACCAACAGGAGGCCAATGATAGTTGGGCTAGTTTGCAAGACCGTGGCCTCATCGCGAGCGGATCACGTGTCAGCGGGTTACGGGACATTTGTCAACAGACGTGCTCTCGCTACGAGGGTCCAGGGGTATTTTCTCGTGGCATCTACTAGCCCAGTAGTTGAAGGGATAATGTAAAGGAGGAGGGAACAGAGAAGGAAGGGAAGAAGGAAGGAGGAAGGAAAAATGAGGGAAAAGAGAGGCTTCGCGGTTTACGTGTGCCCGAGACGGTGTCAGCGGCCCGTACTCTTGGCTGCGAAAGTGGTACTGTGGCAGGGGCTGGAGCAGCATCGCATATTAAGGCTTCCATGCTAGTAAAGCCAGTTTTGCCACAATGTGAATCTTCCCGATACCCATGCACCGATATCCAGCTCGCTCATGGGCTACTGGTGAGCTTTTGCTCGTATAAATGTGCTCACAAATTTATATATTTTGAGAATCGCGAGTTGCTGGCTATATGGGCAATACTGGTTTGCGGAAGGAAAATAGTTTTTGTAATGGTAAGGAGCAAATCTGAGGACATAGTCCACGATTGCAATCGTGGGTAGCGAACTTGAAAAACATACCTTGCAACACCATCTATAAACCACACTGTGGCCATATTTCTGCTGGCATTCATCATAAAAACCATAAACAGAAGAGATCTTCCGAGATTCATGATTACCACGTAAAAGTGTCATGCGATCTGGGTACCTGTGAAAAGTAGCTGTTCTCATAAACGTGTGATATCGATCTGGAACAAATCACGCCGTCACAATGTCCACGTGAATTGTTTATACAGCTGCCCATTTCATAAACATAAAAAGTTCAAACAAAGAAAACAGACAGCCCGGAACACGGCGTTCTGGCGGTCTTCTATGAAACGTCGGGGAAAAAGCGAAGTCGCTAAAGTTACAGCATCAAAAATAGTTCCCAAACATGGAAGTTATTCTTTCTGAAGTAGCAAGCCAAATACCCAGAATGAGCGATTCCTCTCCTGTCTTGGCTATATCCGAGGCCATTCAAAATTCAAAGAATAACAATGATAAATTATCTGAAGAAGTAGACTCACCGCTGAAATGTCTCTCTGAACAAATTTCCATGTGAGTTTTGGTAGACAAAAGTAAGATTTTTGTACTTTTAAGGCTGATTAAAATGAGAAGGGAAACATTATTACTAGAACCTATGTACAAGTATCAAAGGAGTTGGTCAGCATCCGAAGGGTCGGAACGCGTTCATACGTTCCAGTCGCTCCCATAATCCTAGCGATCGGATCGCGAAGTATGAACGCGCTCTTACCTTTTTTAGCCCTTACTCAAGTTCTAAAAACATCTTGAAACCTACTTCAATAACAAAGCGAAGAGTAGTGTCGCGGTTTCTAAGCTATAATATCCTCGATCTACATAATCGCCCATGAAGACATATTTCGTATTAGGTACTTCTCCGCCTACACATTAAAAAATTAGCATAACAACGCAACTAAATCAAACAACATCACCGATTTCTCTGACTAACCTGTACGGAAAAGTTCCAACAAATCATAAAATTGCCCATGGATGTCTCCACAGATAGTGACGGGAGTTTCCACAGGAACAACATTTGGCTGTCGTATAAGACGATCAATAAGGCTAGAACGATAGAGGAACGTACAGCATACTGGATAAGGATTTTATTCACCCTATTCTTTACAGACCAGCTGATAAGTAGCTATCTGTACGACTTCAGTATGGAGGAGATAGCGCGAGAAATGAAAATCCGGGAAAATCTCTTCTAATCCTGAACTAGTAGTTGGGTAAAATCGTAGCAAGCGTAATACGATGGTGCAGGAAAGAAGAAGCAACTAGCTATTTTGACTCCCACTCCTGATAAGGGGGATATTAAAGACTTTAGGCTCAACTCTAATCCGGATCAGAGAATTATGCAGCTAAGCGCACGCTCACACAACAAACTTGACCAGCACACGCCACCGTTCGAAGGTAACGGGGCGCATGTGGCTCAGAAGGGCATCTGGTCAGGGGTCACTGTGGCCCTAGAATGCTATTTATAACAGCGGAATATTGGCGCGATTCAAAGGACCGAATTCGAACGGCCCATAAATCCCAGACTCCTGCCCGCTGGCACATTCTCCCTGAACACCAACTACAGCAGCTCAAAAGCTCCACAAGCCTGCTCACTGAAAGTTCAGGTAAAATCGGAACCACAGAATCAGCGACAAAGGAGGATGCCAATCAGTCGCTGCCAGGATATCTATCAGAAGCCTTCCTCCTCTCTTTCCTCCTTTCAAACGCTCGGCCGAAGGATGAAGGAGGGGTACACCTCTAGACCCTCCAGCGAGAAAACATCTTATTGTCAGAAGCCTTATAGCCGGATCAGTCCAGCAGACCCCGCCAAGTGAAGAACTGGTGAAGTCACTTGCGATATAGTCTCTTTCGCTAACTCTCTGCTTATCCTGCTCAGCGCCGACTGTAGACGCGACGGAACTGATAAAAAACAGGCTTACCAATTACAAAGTGAGATCATATCCTCCTCTGGCAGATATTTGCATTCTTTTGCTATTGAAATCCATTCATCTACATTAGCATAGCGTTTGCTTAAAACAAGAATTAAGCCACATCAGTTAGAATTTCCAGAAAGCCAAGAAATGACAACTTACGCGCTTCTGCTTGGCAGCTTGTCCTCATTCAGTACACCTCTAACTTCTTCTGGCACGTCCGAGTCGGATGGCATCACAGTAAACGTCGAGTTCATGGCATCATCATGCATGATGGGTTGATATCAACCAACGGAAATGTTGAACTAGGTACTCTAAATCTATTTAACTGTTATGCACAAATATTGACTGCCAGGTGGGCGAGTCCAGAGAACGAGACCATCTTCTCGTCTCCCAGACCGCCAGGGAAAGCGAAGGCAGGACCAATGACGTCGTTTTCTGAACTCGCCCACGGTAATCACGATTGGTGCTTTTTAATTGAAGCAATCTGCTATCAATTCTTTCCAAATAAAAGGCAAGTGAAAAACACGCAACCGAACAGAACGGTAGTCTAAGCTCAATTGAGAACCGATATGACAACATTCATTCAAAAAAAAGGACAACAACAAAACAACGAAGATCTATTAGCCTATTAAATACACATGAAACTTGTAAGAGCGAGGTAATAGGCATCTCTATAATAACTGTGATTGAAAGTATCTAAATAAAGTAGTGAGACCATAGCTAGCTCATCTTTCAAGGAAACATCAAAAATATTTCTAATTCTAAAATCTATTTCAAAACTAACACTTCTAACAAGAGTTTCCACCGGACAATCATCTTTTCCAAGATACTAGAAGACACATCACATCAAACAGCGTCTGGAAAAATCTTCAAGAGTCTTGAGCACTGATCTGGGAAAATCTTCAAGAGTCTTGAGCACTGAACTTATTCGGCAAGCAATCCAAATGATTCTGCCTCACAAAAGCATCTGAGAACTCTCATAAATCAACATAAAAAAAAAACAACAACGGAGGATACAAATATCACAGACTAGGTGGCTTTTCAATTATCCATAACAACACCGACTTGTGCAGCCCGAATGGGCCGCTCCTTCAAGGAATATCCAACTTTTGACACATGCATTACGTGCCCAGGTTTGATTTTCGTATCCTGAAAACCATCAAATTAGCAGAATGGTGATTAGAAGAGCCCTTATGAAAGGACACTTGATGCAGAGCTGGGATAATCATCATGCAACGGGATTTCAAATTGGCTCATCCATTCCGAAGCCCCTGTTCCTCTTAGGCCTAGCCAAAAGTGCTCATTTCCAATGTGGTAATTCCATTTTGTGCGAGGAGTCCTTTGAGCGCCCCCTACCACCTACCAAAGGACTTGCACCTAAAGTTTGATCCAGAGCAGAGCAATCTTAGGCGAGAGAAAAATCTTGTTTCTGATACAGGAATCACATCACGCTTTCTAGTTCCACTCAGAATCGTAGTGGCTTATTGAATTCCATAAGGCCTATGTGATGATTTACGGGAGCTAGCCGAACTTATGATTTGCGGGAGCTTTTTATCATCCCGAAGGACCCGGTACCAAGCCGCCGTCCTTGGAAGAGAAAAAGCTCGGTTAGCCTGGGCGGAAGCCGATCCGGACTTTGCCTCTGAACCGCGTGCGGTAGTCCGCCACTTACGGTTCAAGGTCTGCCTCCGTATTTACTATGACTGTTAGCTGATAGTCTATCTGTCCCCTCCACGTTCTACATATTTAGCAAGGGGTTGGTCGTATTTTGAAGAAAATACTCCGATATGATGATATACCGTGGCTTGCATATGTCGTAGAACATAAAAACAATGCATACCTCTCCTGGAGGAACTTGGAATACAGCCTCATGTAAGTTGGGATCGAATTTTTCACCCAACGGATTCACTTGAACGAGTCCGTGCTTCTTGAAGGTTTTCAACAACACCGTCTTCGTCATAACTATGCCTTTGTGAAGGTCTACGAGAGTCTTATCGGCGGACTCAAGCTGATCCGGCTTTACGGATTCTACAGCCAAATCGAGAATGTCGGCAACCTATAATAGTGAAAATACTTCAACAAAAATATAGCGTAGAAAAGTTCGAATACCTCCAGTAAATCCTTGCAGAAACCTTGAATCGCGAATACTTTTGCTTCTTCCGTCAACTTCATGCCCCGATTGCGAACATTTTCTGTTTCAGCTAGCGATCGCTTATATTTATCCTGGAAAATTTCAAAAATAAGATTGAACCATAATCTTGAGAATTAAGTAAATCACATGCTCATCGGAGATAGCGAGCAAATAAGAAGCATATTCTATCGTTAGCCCAATTTAAGACCCACACCCCACATGGTACAACAACCTGAGAGGGGTCCTTTCCGTCTACAAGAAAAAAAGGCAGTAAAAGAGACCCACTCACGCCACTCGAAGGTGCGCGGCAATGAAGCCAGGAATTTGATGTGCCCTTCATCTCTCTCTCCGTCATTGGATGCGCTATACGGCGTTACATGGCTCCTGTCAGTTGGGTACTGTCTCGCTGGGAGGGTCAAAAAATATTTCCTAATCGCATCTTCTGGCCCGAGCATTCGCAGAAAGGAGATCAAGGAAGAGGGAGAGGAAGGAAGGAAAAGAAGTTAGGCAGAGGAAAAAGGGAAGGCAGGCGGAACGCTCCGTTGATAGATGTCCTGCGGTCGCGCCCGTCATTAGATGCGCAGCCGCGACATGAGCCGAGCTGCTAATCTTTGCCCTCTCACCAAGATAGGGTCCTTTGGGTTTGACTGAGGCCATCGGAGCCTATTTCCAAGTGGTCCGAAGAAGGCTCTATCAGCCTCAACCAGATCACTGTCCACTATCTTTGTGAGAGGGCACAGCCAAGTGAGCGTGCGGCGTGATTGTGTAGAATCGATGAACCCAAACAGCGAGCTAAATCATCAATAGCAATAAGCATTTACAAGCCTCTAGATGCATTGCGATGTATTCTTGAGCGGCCAGATTGGTACAGTTCAACCCAGGTGACCTGTCCATCCTACACACGGAAAGGATCCACCTCTCATGTGATCGAAATATGTATGTCTTCAATTCAACTCAGTAGAGCACAGGAAAAAGAAGAGAAAAATAAAAGAAAAAAGTAACAGACGTATATCTATATGATAACTGCTGATTTACGCCGCAGTTCGCGTTCCGAAAGTAAAGTTATTTCCGGGCGAGTGCGCTATCCGTTACGCGTAACGGATAGCGCACTCGCCCGGAAAGCGTGAGGTGCGGGTTCGACTCCCGCCTGGGGCACGACTTTTGCCCAAAACTCAGCATTCTTGCGATATATGAATAACGCAAATGTATGTGGTATTACAGCTAATAGATCACCTGCCACTCTGAACCTTCTTCGATTAAAGCATCATATTCTGTTAACAAAGCTTCAAATGCTTCTTTTGGGATAGCGAAATCCTCTGCGCCCTCCTTAGCAGCTACTTTTTTAACCATTTCGAAAAAGTCCACTCCTGAAAGTGACAGGTTTGATTACTGTACAAAACAGCTTACAGCAAACGCTTCAACAAAAGCAGAAAGCTACCATTGAGTCGTTGCCCATCCGGCTTTTTAAGAGAGAACTTTGGAGTTTCATTATTTTCTGCATTGTTGGCAGACGAGGAGCTGAACCATGAAGGGTTCCGTAGAGTTGACCGGAATTTGAGGACTGGCCTAAAAAGGTGAGTAAGAATATCAAGAGATTGTCCAGCTTCTTTCTTCTTGCAAACTGGTTGTATCTTGTGATAGTTTCATTACCCTGAGAAGTTTGATGAGAGGAAGTTTTATTCTAACGGTGAACGTTTCGATTGAACAGCCGTCTTCGGGCTTCCACTGTTTGGGAGGAGATGTCCGCTATTACACTCTAGCTTCAGTGAGAAGTAACACTACTCGTTGGCGAGACACTAGAACTGCCTCTTATTAACGCTAGAGGGTGGCAGCGGATTTTTCAGTCCAAAAGGTGACACCCTGAGGGACAGAGACGATTCAGTCGGAACATTGCCTCCTTGATCAAAAGTCTCTTAAAACTGCGCAAGGCCGTTTTCATTACTTCCTAATGACACTCGACGATTTGAGAGATTGCGCGACAAAGAAGTATGGGTGTCAATCTGGCGGTTGCGGAGATTGAGCGATTCAGGAGACTCGTCATTTCCGGCGATTCCCGAAGGAGTGGATGGGTTTTGACCAGCGCCGGTTGCAGCCATTGCGGAGGTTCGGCGATCCGGCAAACCCCCCGCCCCTTCCCAGATAGCCGAGTCGCCCGGATCGCTCGGTCTCCCGAATCGCCGAACACCCTCGATCGCAAAGCATGATCACAGCCTAAAGGACACAAGCACTAACACAGGATTTATAACAAAAGAAACTTGACCACTGATCGAATTGCATTTTGATGTTTTTAAACTGCATCATCCTATCTCATCTGACGCGGATAACGAACTATTTACAAAAAGCTATTAATGAAGTTAGTGCTTGGGCCAACAAATGGTGTTTACCCTTATCGAGTGAGGATACAAAAGTCTTGCGCTTTGGAAAGATAGCTATCAATAGCAACTACTCAATTTCAGGGGACCAGCTTGATGTAGTTAACGAAATTAAAGACCTTGGGTTCCTTGTTCGGAGTGATTTGAGTTCTGACAAGCACTGCTCATTAGTATCCTCTACAATCGTTATTACGCGAAATTTGTTTAGATTATTTTTGACAACAGATTCTAATGTAATGTGTCGAGCATACATAACATACATCAGGCCCATACTAGAATATGGAACTATGTTCCTCTGTTCTGGAATTATGTTATTAATTTGTAATCCATACACAACGAAAGGCATAAAAATTTCTGAAGAGAGTTCAAAACAGTTTTACAAGGAAAGTTTATCTTAGGGAAGTCCGCCAACTTACCATGGAAATTTAGATGGAGACCTGGGTAGATCGATAGAGTCTATAAGGTTATTTACAAATATAGATAGCAAAACTGCAACCTGCATTTCACAAGCAACTTATGAGCAAGTAGACTTTGTAATGGCCGAGCCTCCACCCTACTGCACCACACAAACTTACCTGCTCATAAGTTGCTTGTGAAATGCAGGTTGCAGTTTTGCTATCTATATTTGTAAATAACCTTATAGACTATCGATCTACCCAGGTCTCCATTCAAAGTTCCATGGTAAGTTGGCGGACTTCCCTGGTTAGAACAGTAAGGTTTAGACAGAGTGAATGCCGTCTAGCGAAGCACGTAATATCAGGGACTCTAGCTTGAGACTCTAGCGCTCAGAAGAAAAAAAAATTGACTTCATAACACTCTTCAAAATTCTTCATCTCCACACCGGTCTCAGACCTAATCTGCTGTTTAAAACCAGAAAAACAGTTGCAAGAGGGAGCCAGAGAAAGTTATTTACTCAGAGAGCGAAACCATGTCAGACATCATTTCTTCGTGAATAGAACGATAGATTGGATAGATCTGTCCGACCAGGAGTACCCACCAACACAACTTTAAAAAAAGCACTAGATAGACATCGCTCAGTAATTGTTTTTATTGATGTCCATATTCCATGATGGAAGATTACATTTATTGTTCGTTCGTGGTTTTTAATGTGCATTGTATTTACTGTATTAGTTACGTAACCATATTATATTGATCACCACATAGTTTGCTCTGTAATAAAAGAAAGAAATTTAAATGTAAAATAAGTGGGAGAAGGGGCAAAAACTGAACTTTAAAAACCGCAAAGTGCTCAGCCACACGAAGTTTTCGAAAGATTTATAGATCAGATATGCTCAGACCTAAACCAAATCACAAGAAAAATAATTTAAGGAGCTTACAGAGAAGTCAGACCTATCAAGTGTATGGGCACACTAACTGGTAGTAATCAATGGAAGAAACAGGATCGCCTCTCATTATGCCAGCGTGCGATGGACACTGCACTTTTTATCTATGGCAAAAAAATTGCACAGGACAAGAGGTAACCATTAAATTGTCTAGGTTTGAAGGGACCATGACTGCTCTGAAAGAGGGTTAAGAGCTTATAGGCTTCCCACATGTACTTATTCATAACATGATTTATTTCCTCCACTCGGCAGCTGCCTCCAAAATCTCCTCACCGGCCACCAAAAGGGCATTCCGCGACCAGGGCACGTCTTGGATCTCCACCGTGGGGATCACACCTAGTCGAGGGGGGAGTCACATTGGCCTAAAAGAATGTTTTTGGTTTTGACGTTTCTGTTTTTTCCTGTTTCAGTCCGTGACCCCTTTCCTCAATGGCGATTTTGTGGGGAAAACCGGAAATGGTTATCCGCTTAGAAGCACGAAGAAAGAGGGAGGAAGTCGAACCAGAGGGAACTACGGAAGGAGGGGCGGGGTGTTTTGCGAAAGTTTTTTTTCACAAACGGTAGAACGTCCTTGTACGCTTCTCCCTAAGCGGAGACGTTATTAAGGGATCAGGCTTACTATGGAACGAACACACTAACGAGGTAGTTCTATACTAGGAATTCGAAGATTCACAGAAGCAAATGCATACGTATTGATTCAAATTCAATTCTCTCAAACGCACGCACGGTGGACATGAATTACCTATTTCCATTTGAATTTTTTTCACTGGTTTGCCCCACTTCCATGATTTGTGAGATTCTCAAAATCGATAAGAGCACACTTATTTTCCGCGGATTCCACGATTCTTCAAATTTTTGTGATGAACACCACCTAGGTGAGAACGCAGTCCGACTAATCTCTCTTAGAGTAACCCACGCACTACTTGAAGACGTTCACCACGACCCTGTACGGCTATGTTCACTTTTCTCGAGAGAGAAGAATCTAAGAAACTGTCTTCCTGTAAAACTTTCGTTCTTCTCAGATTTCTCGGAATAAGGTCTCTCCCTGTCTTTGAACAAAATCTTGACAATTACTTATTTTGGACTGGTGAAAAGCTCGAGTCCCATTCAAATTGAAATTAAAATAAGCCGGTGCATACTCGTGTTGTAGGAGTTCTGAGCGAATGGGAATGATGAGAATCGCCCTCCAGTGCTGGTCGCAAAAGTGCAAGAGCGCTGCCGGAACGGATGATCAATGCGTATCTCACAGCTGTTGCAAATCCTGTAATAAGTCGCAGACACCAAAGAAGCGCTAGTCATTAAAAAGGGCCAGTCATTCTATCAGATTTCATGCAGTACCAAGCGAACACCTCGTGAAAGCTCTGAAAAATGGTATGAAGTTCATCGTGTCCCTCGAGCAGAGAGAGTCATTGGGCAACTCTTGCACGTTGCAGGGACGAATGGAGACGTTACTGGCGCCCTGCTCGAGCAACTCGACGGTTAGACGGAGCACAGGTGATACAAGTGATACATATTGGAGAAACACAGTCCTTGTTACAAGAATGCTGAGTTATGAGCAGAACACTTGACCTCAGGCTCACAGAGAATTAGAAAATACCGCCTGGGCGAGTGGCTATCTGTTACGTAATCCTCATGTCGAAAGTGTTTCCGTTTTTAGATAACTTTCGTAGCGCGATTTGCGGCTTCAAACAGCAAAGTCGTGCTTAAATAGATTCAAAAACAATTTTCCAATCGAGTATCCTCTAACGAGCCTTTTATCACTTGAGTACTCATTGAAGGTTATTACTTGCACTACTGAACGGAAAAAGGGGCTAGGAGAAAGAGTTTCGTTGTTACAATACCAAGTAGCAAAACGGCCTAAGTTACTTGTCAGCACCGAACTTGCTTATTCATCATGAACTCCTTTCTATTAAACCTCGTCAAGAGATTCTGCTCCAGATGCATGACAGATAAGTAAGAAATTTGAAATGATGCAAATTAGACAAGCATAAATTTGAAGTGATGCAATTTTTTTGCCGTCTCATATTTTAACAAACTGTAGGACCAGTTTCTAGCATCGCTACTAATCAAAAGAAAATACGGAAGTCATAATATTAACCTGGAAGACAAAGGGCAGCACGAATGAATCGTGGGCAGGTTGCTTCTCAACGCGATTCCCACCAAACGCCTGGCCAACATTCTAAAAGAAATCTAAAGTCAATGGGACACATTCACACAATAAGGAGGTAATAACGGTAAAATTAAGACCATTCAAGAAGCCGAAAACACTATGGAAGACAAAATAACATGGAGAATCACAAAAAAGAAATCTCAGTAGAGATTGTCAAAAATGTGGAAAAGAAGGCGTCAAAAATTTGGCTACGGACATCGCGCGGCGACGTCTTTTTTCAAAGTTGGGCAAGTTTTGTGGCGATGTTTCTCTTCCTTCTTAATTCAGTTTCTGAGCTGAGGTGCCTTGTTGAAGGTAAAGTCTACGGCGTCAGCCCCCCTATATAACAAGGGAATTTAGTGCGCTCGATGGTGATGGTGTCTGTAGAAAAACTGCAAGCATCGTGCTTTTATTCTAAATGCTTAGAAAAAGCTTTGTTAAAGCGCAGGGCGAAGAGGCTGGGCACCATTCTAACCACTGACGAACTCCCTCTCCTCATCTGCACTCAGGCAAGAAAAAAACATCATCCTTCCGCCTCCCAAGCGTACCTTGACTTTTGGTATTGAATGCCGTCCAGATGGAAGATGTGGCGCAGACAAGATCTCGTAACACTTCGTACTTTAATGCAACTTCTCGTGCGAATTGGGACAACCATAATCCGGGTAATGCCGTTTGGACGCGCTGAGTTTTGGCTGCGAATTCATTTTTAAAGTGCCTAGATCACCAAATCCGCTGGAAAACTTGTACAAAACTTGTAGAAATAAGGGTAATCTAGCATCCTGTTCGCAAATATGACATTCATTCTTGGCGCTGGCGCTAATGGAGGACACTACGATTATCTTCTGGGTTCAGCTTTAGCAGAGGGCAGATAATCGTAGTGTTCTCCATTAGCGCCAGCGCCAAGAATGAATGTCATAGTCGTAATCAGGATGTTAGATTACCTCTATATACAAGTTTTCAGCAGATTTGGTGATTTAGGCACTTTAAAAATGAGCTCGCAGCCAAAAGTCAGGGCGTCCAAAGCCTAATCCGACGTGCTCTTCCTGCAAGCGTTCTCGCCCCCCCCCTTCGAACTAGCGCCAAGATTGAATTCATGGACCGTTTTCGTTATTTCTGGTGATCAGAGATTGCTCTCGAGGAAGATACCAATTCAAGTTGGTTCACCGTGTCTTCATATTCATATTTCGATAGACTTTCCTAGCTCTAGCCTTTCTTTAGCTTTTTTGTGCTTTGGAAAGCTTTGTGTGCACAATAGAGATCTTCGTAAGCCTACAAAATGTTGCACCAATTGCGTCTGTACATTGTACTAGCGCTAGATTTTTTTTCTGAATTCGTGCACCAAACTATCAATTCTGTTACGTGAACATACTTTCATGGCCAGGAGAAACAATTAAATTTCATTCATCAGTCTTCTGATGCTGATCGTTCTGTACTTATGGTTTTTGCTTAGGTTAACCGTTGCCGAATAAGCTGAAAATATGACCGAGGACGACGATCAGAAAGGATATACATGGGAGGCTGGCTATGCAGATGGTGGGTTCTGCATGGTTGTTGAGGAACTCATTTTTAGGTGGAAATTGACGAAGACCTTCCAGTAAAGGTTGAAGGCTACGTTCATACCTTCCAAGTGTTCGTTTTGAGAGAATCAGCGTTTTGAGCGATTCGGTATTTTGGGTGCGGATCGACCAGGGCACGTTGTTGCTGGGAATTCCCCAACAGGGGGGGGGTCGTATTCGGTCGCTGGAAGAGGGAGGGGGTCGTACTTGCTAAGGAGTAATTAGGGAATGAGGGATTCGGGCTAAGAAAAAATGCTTTCGATAGTTAATTTTTCTTGTTTCATGTACGTTGCAAAAGCGATCGTATTCGCTCGTTGTTGGGAAGGGGTCCTATTTGCTTGTTGTTCAGAAAGGAGTCGTACCCCCCTGACCTTCTAAGATTACTTGCTGACTTCGTGGTTTTTCTTGTTTTGTGTGTGTGTGGTTACGGGCAGATGTCAACCAGACGATCTCTCGCTGCGAGGGTCCAGGGCTAATTTCACGGGGCATCTACCAGTCCAGCAGTTGAAGGGGAAGGTAAAGGAGGAGGGATCAGAGAAGGAAGGAAGAAAAAGAAGGAAGGAGAAAAAAGGAAGGAGGGAGAAGCTTTCCTTTTGACATGGCCCTGATAAGCCGTTCGAAAGCAAAATTTTTGGGTGAAAGTAGAGAGAGTAGGGAGATTTTCGGGAAACTCCGGAAAATGTGGTAGAAAGTCAAGAAAATCTAATAAGAAATGGTGCTGGGGAGTCGTATTTCCCTCGAGGTTTGTTTTTCCCGTTTCACATGCCCTATTGACCACCCCCCCCCCCTCGACAGGTCGATGAAGAACCAGGGGGTTGTACCAACTCCAAAAAAGGGGCGTGGATCGTATAGACTCTACCAAAATCTCCAGCAAATGATGTGCCTTGTTCGACACCTGCATATTTTCTGTTTCTATACTATACACTATACGATACATGCTTAGAATAGAAGCTATGAAATGCCTAAAATATCAAGATTTCAAGGTGAGAGAAGGCGGAATCTACTTCAGGAGAAACCCGCACTATCTTTCTCTCTCAAAACGCCGATTCGCCCAATTGATGATTCTCTATAAAACGCCGAGTTGTAATGTATTAAGCAGCCGAGCAGTTGTAACTCTCTAGAAACTTATCACAGGAGTGCTGAGTTGTGGACGAAAGTCGGACCACGGACGGGATTCGAATTTCCGCTTACTTGGCGGTTGCCTTCCCTATTATGCTACGGGTCCAACTTTTGCCCACAACTCAGCATTCTTGTGATAACTTTCGGATCGCGCACTGCGGCGTTAAACAGCAGTTATCAAACAATAACAGCGTGAATCTAGTGCCTCTACATAAAAGAAAGGTTTCAATGGTTCTTCAGAATCAGGTATCCTGGCTATGACCCAAAATTATGACGAACTAATTTACTGATAGAAGCTGTGGGCTTCATAACTCATCCTGAAGTCCAGGAAATCTTGTAGCTTTTATTTTAGGCTTGAATATTCGCGAAGTATTGGAGGAAGATGAAGGTGGATCTATCGAGAAATCCATCGCAAAGCTCGTTTCGGAGGCACGAAAGAAGCAACGTACAATCGAGAAGCCGTCGAAGATTCGTCTAGGCATAGTGAGTTTGAGCGTTCTTGTTCATAACCCTTGATTAGAACCTTTCATTCAGATGCGCTATGTCTACCTAGCTATCGATTGTTCGCGATCAATGACAAGCAAGGTCTTACCACCGTCTCGATTTTTTGTTACTATGAAGGTAATTTTCAGTGGCATTCTTTCTCACGGTTGGGCAGTAGTCTCACACAGGTCCGGTCCAACACGCTGTGTGTCAGGACATGCCGCGTTTTACGATACCCCATTGACGTGGGGAGCAGGAGGAATTCTGGAATATGTGGGCATTTTTCCATAAAAGAAATCTTACTTGTTCAGAGGAATTGATTTGTTTGAACCAATCGTCTCGCCTGCGTGCTCTGGCAAGAGTGGGAGCGGCCAATCGTAAGGCTGCGTTTATACTTTGCGGCAGCGTAGCGTAGCGTAGCGCAGCGTAGCGTAGCGCTTCCAGCGTACGCCAGCGGCAGTGCCGAAGAGAGGATGCATATCGATCTAGCTTCACCAGCGGCACGCTGGCGTACGCCAGCGTTTCTCCAGCGTTTCACCAGCGTTTTGCTAGCGTTTGCAGCGGCAGGGGAGTAGAGACTATGTGGCCGTGAGAGACGCGGAATCGACGTGTATTGTAGAGACCATGTGGCCGTCGGAGACGCAGAAGCGATGTGCATTGTAGAGACTATGGGCCGTCGGAGACGCAGAAGCGATGTGCATTGTAGAGACTAAGGGCGAGTGAGAGACGCGCAATCGATGTGTTTTGTATCCTCCAGCTCTCCCATAGTCTCTACTCCCCTGCCGCTGCAAACGCTAGCAAAACGCTAGGTGAAACGCTGGAGAAACGCTGGCGTACGCTAGCGTGCCGCTAGGTACCGCTAGCGTACGCCAGCGTGCCGCTGGTGACGCTGGTGAAGCTAGATCGATATGCATCCTCTCTTCGGCACTGCCGCTGGCGTACGCTGGAAGCGCTACGCTACGCTGCACTACGGCTACCGGCGGATGT